GTCCACGGGAGCAACGCCCACCTTCCCCCTAATAACTTCATTCCTTATCTTATCCAGTTTAGTATGCCCACACATCCATCTCAACATCCTCATCTTGGCTACTTTCATCTTCTGGATATGTGAATTCTTAACTGGCCAACACTCAGCCCCATATAACATAGCTGGCCTAACCACCGCTCTGTAGAACTTACCTTTGAGTTTTGATGGTACCCTCTTGTCACACAGGACCCCAGATGCTAACCGCCATTTCATCCACCCCACCCCAATACGGTGCGTGACATCCCCGTCGATCTCCCCATCTCCCTGGATAATAGACCCTAGGTACTTGAAACTTTCTCTCTTGGTGATGACTTGTGAGTCGAGCCTCACCACCCCGTCCGCTTCCCCCGACACGCCGCTGAACTTACACTCCAGATATTCTGCCTTGGTCCTACTCAACTTGAAACCTTTGGACTCCAGAGCCTGCCTCCACACCTCCAATCTCTCGTTAACACCGCTACGCGACTCATCGATCAAAACTACATCATCAGCGAACACCTCTTTGACAATAAGAACAAAACATATTTCTCCTATCACTTCCCTTTGCTGCATTGTTTCTGTTTCCTCCCCCAGTATTTAGGTTAAAATTTATCCTACTCTGTCCTGAATACTATCTAAATTTCTGTGTTGATGCATTAAATGAACTCGAATCCATAGGAGAATTCATTATAGGTTGAATAGATCTTTGTCTTTCTTCTTGAAGAAGTAAAGAATATGCCTTATCAATATTTGGTGTAGGAGTCATCATCATTATATTTCCTCTACAAGCAGTGTATATTTCATTCAGTCCCATAAGAAATTGAACTAATTTCTGTCTCTCCTCAATTGCCTTATTCTTATGTTTTGCTTCACATATGCATTCAACACAAGTACATGGAATTTTTGCATCCAATGCATTCAACTCATCCCAGATTGCTTTTATATTATTGAAATAGGCTGCTATATCATTAGATCCTTGTACAGTTTCTAATAATTTCTTTTGTAGGCCAAGAAATTGAGCTACATCAGATTGTCCATACATGTCTTCAAGTTGTTTCGAAAGATCCCTTGCAGAATTGGAATGAAGAACACTTGACCTAATTCCTTTTGTCAAGGAGTTTAATAACCAAGCCATCACCATATCATTACATCGAGTCCAAAGCTCGAAATATAGAGAATCATCTCTAGGTTTGAGAAGTCTTCCATTGATCAATCCTAATTTGTTTTTAGCTGATAGAGAAATCAACATTGATTTGCGCCAATCTGCATACCAAGTTCCGTCAAATAACGTGAATACCAAATTTGTTCCAGGATTATCCGAAGGACTCAAGTAGAGAGGATGTGAGCTCTCAACAACAATTTGATTCTCAGCAAAAGAATTCTCTGCCGTCATTGTTATCAATAACTCGAAGCAGAAGATCAATTGCAATGGATAAAAAAATGAATTGTATGAAACGAAAATAAAATTGAAGATCGATCAAACTGAATCGACTGAATTGTGAACGTAATTCATAAAAATTTGTAGAACAGTATAGAAAATTTAGAAGATCGAGCACATGTGCTCTGATACCATGTTTGGATTCGAGAATTTCGAATGAACAAAATGCATTTTGGAATTTTGCTGCTTCTTTCGTTCTTCTGCGTCTCAATACAACAGTACAATGTATATATATACATCAATGACTAACCGCCTAACTTTCTGTCTAACCAACTTAGTGGAATGGCTAATTACATAAATATCCCTAGAACTTTCTAGAGTGTATGTGTAACTATAAGGACTAAAGTGTAATAACATCCTTCAAGAGTTAGACTAAGTAATGCCTTTTGTATTGGATGTATCGATCAGTTGGTCATTCTTCTTCTTCATTTGCTCCGCCGGTACACTATCAACATCATTTGTTAACCACAAGTAGAATACTTGTGTAGCGGGTAGGCTAGAATCATTGTTGATAAAAAATAAATTCGATATTAGAATTGTAAACTTGTTCGTAGCTGATTCAGCCTAATAAAATATTTTGTTTCATGTAAAAAAAAATATACATACTTCATTTTATTAAGGGGTAAAAGAGAATTTAGTATTATATTTAAAGCCATACTTTCTCTGTTCACTTTTAGTTGTCAAGTATTTTAAAATTAAATTTTTATTTTTACTTGTTACTTTTCGCATATCAAGAGAAAAATATTTTTTTTCTGTTTTGCCCTTAGCATTAAACGGAGGGAGTATAAGCAAGTGAATGATACTTAGTATCTCATTTCTTGCATTAAAAATAGTAACACAAAAATTTATAAGATGTCCGGTATAAATCAAGACAAAATAAGGCAGCGGCCAGCTACACGAAGTATTATGTGTTCACGCAGGGTCTAGAAACGACATTTTAAGTGGTGTGATGTAGGCAGCCTACTATAATGTGGTTGATTCTACGGCTTGAACCCGTAACCTATAGGTCACACAGAGACAACTTTATTGCCGCTCCAGGACTCCTTTCAAGACAAAATAATAAGTAATTCTAAAAAATACTAAACTGAATGAGCAATACTAACTTTCGAATTATTTTGGTCATTTTTTGTTACTATACAACGATGTGCACGTTTGAAAGTTTTAACTTTAGAAAACAAAATATAAGATGGCAAATATCACATGTTAACAGAAATATTAAATAGTTCAAGAAATAACTAAATAATTTTATTTTTTGGTTGCAAAAGTTGTATGTATACAAGATGTCCATCAAAGAAACCAGCAAATTATTCGGTGGTGTTTGAACTAAAAATTCATTTTAATTTAGTTTATAATATTTGCAGTATTCCCAATTGACACATTCTTCCAAATGTAACTACAATTTACCAACAAAAAAACAAAAACAGAAACAACGTTAAAATTTATGGAGGTAGTGGTAGGGTGGGATCGGGGTGGGGAGTGACGAGTGTCTAGTGTATATAAAATTCTAACCCGTACTCTGTCAAATAATAATATAAAAAATATCGAACCCACCGAAATTGGATTATCTATTCTACAGAAGTTTCTTGTTTTAATTGCTATTTGAGAAAATCAGAAAGAGTTGAGTTATAAATTAACTAACTAAAAATTCATAAATAGAGCAATAGAAAATATTTTATTTTTCACAAATATAATAAAAAGGTGTTGGGATCTTGACTTCACTTAATATTTCTTTTATATAGTAGAATTATTATTCCTCAATTTCTATTTCTCATAAATGTATAATTAAATGCCTCTCACGATTACAAATATATACTATTACTCAGGTTGAATAATTAATTCCACTCCTCTCGGTTATACAAATAAATCTTCAAAATAGTAATACTCAAGAACCAGAAATATATGATTGAACTAAAACATGCTCTTGTTAGTAAGTCCCTTTCGGTTACCCTACTTGTTATAACTGATTATTACACTATTTGCCTCTCTCGATTACAAATAAGTGTACAATTAATTATAGCATAAAAGAGATAGATATTACTGAATAAAT